TTTTGCCTGACCTCCAGCAGCCAAACTGCCTTGTTTATATAGGCAGCCCTGAGCCTAAAATAGCTGCCCTCATTAGGCACCTGGAGGCTGCCAGCTCCAGGGCCTTAAAGTGGCAGGCGCACACAGTGCCCTGCCACATTGATCATTATGAATTAAGATATTTGTTTCTGGGACCTTCTTCTCCCACTCACTCAAAGGAACTGTGATTAGACTGCCAAGAAAGACAGGTTTTACACTTAGTGTGGAGCCTACATTGCAATATTGCCTTGCTACCAGAGGCTTCTCAGGTCAAAAAAAATTAAGAGCCAGAAAAATGTACAAATCTCACACTAAGCAGTATGTAACCATTATGAAGAAACCTTTCAAAAAGCAGAATTGCATAGCAGTTTTTCCTCCTGCCATACCTGCTACAAAAAGAAAGAAATAGTTTAACCAGTGGTGAGAATGGTGGATAAAAATTGATGCAATTATAATGAGTAATTACATTAATAATTTACTTGCCTATGGCACTTTTAATCTTAACATATCAAATCAGGAAAGTGTATTTATACTCGCAATGTACCTGCTCTCTACTAAAAGTCTGGCTGGTTAGGGGTGGAATTGCTCATTAAAACTTGTTGAGAAATGATACTTATTTGATGTTTAGTATCCCCCCTTTTTTTATATATATATATAATCTCTGCGTCTAATTCAAATTGGTTTATTTATCCTGGATACTACTTGTGAATGCTGGTTTCCTGCTTTTGGGTAAATACAGACAGTCAAAAAGTCTGAGGTGGAATCAATCCAATCTATGCAGGTTTCTCGCAGTTGTGCAGATTGGACCATTAATGAACAGAATTAATTTTCATGCTCTTTGGTTGGTCAGGCAGATGCCTTCTGGCCTTGGCTAATGCAGGTGAGAAGTGTTTCTGCATGCCTCTCAGCTCCACCAGGCTGCTATCACCTCTGTCCTGGCCCCTCGCCAGCCCTCCACCTTTCAGCTGCAAAGGGGAGGGGAACGCCCCTCCACACCAATTGCCACCTCCCCCCAGCCAGGGGCTGCACAGCAGGTGGCAAGGGAAAGCCCCTGGGGTGGTGGGCTTTGCTCCTCCACCTGCTGTGTAGACTCCAGCTGGGGAGGGAAAGGGGGCTGTGGCAGGGGGCTATTCCCCCTCGTAGCTTAGAGGTGAGGGGGTGGTGCTGGGTTTCTCATAGCTCAGTGGAGCCAGACTGAGGAGGGAAAAGCCCCTCCCTCAGGGGCTTCCCCTTACCTACTGTGCAGATTCCAGCTGGGGGTGGGGGCTGGAACAGGAGTCTGTTTCCCTCACAGTTGAAAGGTGGGGGGCTGACAGAGGTCGGGCTGGGGTGCTCTCAGCTCAGCAGAGCCAGACTGTGGGGAAGGAAAAACCCCTGCCACAGGGGCTTCCCCCACCTGCTTTGCATACCCTGGCTGAGGCAGGGGTGGTGCTGGGGCTGGGGAAGGGGTCCATTTTTCCCCTGCCTTGCCTGCCCCCCATGCTGCTATCAGCTGCGCTAGGGAGAAGAAGCATTTCTGCCTTAGCTCTGTGATAGCCAGAGGTGGGGCCACCCAGCTCAGCCAGAGCAGATGAGCTGTGGCAGAGGCTAGCCCCCCAACCCTGCAAAGGGCAAGGGGGAGTGGGGGGGGGCTGCATAGAATCCTGGGATGCTGGAGGACTGTGACCTCATCTGTTTTGGGAGGGGATCTTGAACAGAAATTTGATAGACCAATCCGACCTAAAGTGACTAAATCTGATACTATGTCCATCAAGGTCTATCTTAAACTGGATTCCACCTTTTTTAAAATCAGCTTGTGAGCACTGAACTTCTGTTCTGTTACAGGTTTAGACCAGTTTCCAATCACATACCAGCTTACATGTAATTTCTGTCCCTAGCCCAAGTGTGAATGCAGCATATAATGCTATGATTTTAGATATCAGTTTTTTAGTCTAATAAAATTTGTGGCTGACAGTGTTGCAACGTAGACCAAATGATAAAGAGCAATGTATCGGCAATGCATTGCAAGTTACTATAGTGTACATTCAGATTACTATTCAACTTTGGAAATGGAGTTTATAACTCCATAAGGTCGTACAAGAAATGCCAGTATTATTTTTTTACTGAACATGCACCTAATTATCATCTTGCTAACTTTAAAAAAAATTATTTAGCCACACAATGTAGTAGTTGCAGTTTCTAAATATCTTTAGACAATTATCATTTTCCTAATGGAACATTAAATGAAATACAGGAATTCTGTTATAAATGTATTCTTTAAAATATTGTTTAAAATTTAGTCATTGTACCCAATGTTGTTCTTAGTACCTACTTATTTAACTTTAGAGGCAAAATTGTCAGTAAAAAAACTAATATTTTTTGCAGTCACTCTTCCCATTTCATCTTGATTTTATACCAGACACCAAAACCAGAATGACTGAAGTATTTGGGTAGTGAATAGCAACTCTACAGTATCTTCAGAGTATTTCCAAATTGTCTAACAATATAGAGGGATGTTTGCCAGGAAGTTAGTTGGATTTTTGAGAATGAAAAGTAGTATAGTTTATAGTATACAATAGAATAGTGTATAACAATAACATATTATATACTAGAATATTTAATATATTATTATTTTTATTATTAATATATATTATATGTATATACATGTTTATCTATAGTCTATTATATGTATAAATGTGTGTGTATATATTACATATGCACACACACTAATATATATATATCATACACACACTTTTATACTATTACTAGTATAAAACAATAAACAGGGAATTATACAAGGAAAACTTCAACTTACTTTTCCAGCCAACATTGTTGGAATCTGAAACAATTTTTTGGTCTTACATTGATCCTATTTAAACAAAATTATCTGTATTGTGACAGTGCTGGGTACCTTCCTTCATTGCACCCTCTTGCACAATGACTGTCCTTGACCAACACCAGAAAATGAATTTGATTTCTCTAATGCAAAAGGTAATTGGATTTTTCTTTATTGAATGCATCCCTTTAATGACCATCTCTGCTGCTGCCAATTTAGCTGCAAGTGACCTGACATTGATCTGGTGATATGACTTGAAATAAATGCCAGAGCTAAGAAATGAAAAACCAGCTGTCTGATACCAGAAAGAACATTTCATGCCTCAGCTTGCCATTTTCTTCAGAAAATGTCCCCTACTTGAATGTCATTCTTATAAAGCAGGCTGCTGTAGTAATTGGTCATACAGAAGCAGATTGCATCCCTCTAACAAATATAATAAGTAGTTCCCAGAAACTGCCCCAGAGAAAACATTTTGAAAATTGAATAAAACTAACCAAGTAATCATCTTTTGCCTTACAAATATTTATTACTATACAGAACACATCTTCCTGAGCTGGGTAAGTATTGCTAAATGGAATTAATTAAATATGTAAAGGGGCCTTGTTAAGCATTAGGTAATTATCCAAATATTTATTTAGTTAAACTTGGGGTCTTATTAAAATAAAAACTGTAATAACATGGTGATCTGATTTTTTTTTTTTTTTAATAACCTAAAGAAAACAATTAGAATAAGTAGCATTTCAGGATATAATCCATTCTTCATTCAAGATAAATGACAAAATCATAGAATCCCAGGGTGTGTACTTCTGTTTATGTACTGTGTATTATTGAAAGAGTCATCATCATTTAGGACCCAGTGCTGCTAAGCCAAACACTTTTAAACCCATAGTATTAGGAGTTGAATTTTAATTTATATGTGGCTTAAATTTAATCAGGATGTTTATTCCTTTGGTAAAAACTGTTAAATGTCATTGATTGAAGGTAGTAATTCACACTGTCGAAAGCAAAATTAAATTAATAAATTGCATTTTTTTCATTGATTTTATTTTGAAATAACAACTCCTTTGTAAAACTGACTTCTCTTCAAAATGAATAAAACTTGGGAATTTCTTTTGAGAACTCAAAGTGTTACTTCCACGTTTATCAAAGCAATTAACAGTTTTTAAAATACATGCTGAAGCTTGTGGCAAATAAGTTTTTGTTTTCCTCATCCATATTTTATAGCAAAGGCTGTATACAGACTTAGTAGTGTTGTTTTGTTTACATATGTGTTTTCCATACTGTTGGATCTTTTGCATAACAGTGGACAAGATAACTATACAGTATTTTTCAGTAGGGTTAATCTGAAAAAAATGGATATGGATTTCTAACATCTCCAAAGATGGGGGTATATCAAATGCCGTCTCTTTAGTTCAGGCCTATTTTGAATTTTGTTTTTTGTAAATCATCCAAAACTTGACTATACATGTGAGTCTCTCAGCAGAGTTTGACAGATGGTCTGTTTAGATATGAGTACTGAAAATTAGAATTAGCATTTCAAATTTTAAATAACATGCAAGTTTTAGGGTCACTTACAACCCCTTGATCTGTTCCTGATCCCTGATGCCAATGAAAAAGGCACACAGAACAAAGGGACATATGGCTCTTAATACATATGCTTCCCTGGCTTTACTCTGCTGGACTCTAATTCAGATATCAAGAGCCAAAAATCTCTTGACAGTGCTATCGCCAAACTTGGAACCATCTCCCTGATTGGACTGGAATAGAACTGTACATGTCTGCTTCATAACCATATGTAGAAAGTAACTTAAACCCTGTTTATGCTACATCTTCATAATTTTGATGAAGACGGTACAAGCAATTTGCTCATTTAGATTATCTTCTGTCTTCCTTGTATGCTTGGCCATGCAAGAACCCTCTGATAATCTAGCTAATATATACAAAAGTTCTATGGGGCAGAATAGTTGCTTCAAGTAGATTCTTAACAAAAGAGCTGCACATTATTTTTGGTCCAGATTGTCAAATGCAATTATCATTGCAAATGTTGATTATCTTGATCAAGAACAAAACAAACTAGTAATCTAAAAATGTACATTTTAAATCCTAATTAGCACTTGCATTTGTGACATTTATTTAATCCTGAATTATTTCCTCCTTTTTCCTTTAGGTTACTGATATGATGCTTCAGGACAAGCCCTATCCTGACTGGGGAAAGTCTGCCAGAGCTTTCTGGAAGAAGGGAAATATTAGAATCATTTTATTCTGGTAGGAAATCAGTAAAATCCAATTATAATAAATGAATTTTGTATAGATAGCCAAACCTCAACAAATATGCATTCTCTATTTCGTTGTGGCTTTGAAATGAATACTTAATAAGAAAAATAAAACTTATAAAGGAAATAATATTGTGTCAGGCTACAGGATGTATTGCTTAACCCTGGTGTAATTTATATAAAAAAATTTACAGCAGTGTAGACTACACTGGGTTATAGAATGAAGGGTTAATGCATTATCCCAAGGTACTTGATCCATTAGGGCTTTTACAGCCCCTCTCCACTAGGTGAGAGATGAGCAAGTAATAGCCTGTTTGCATTAAGCAAATGACTGTCTGTGTTGATTATACACACAGCTGACTGGTACAGACATTACACTTTTTTTTTGTTTTACCAGTACAAGTGATCAGAAACTGGTCTATACTCATAACAGATCCAATGTTTGGCATGCATAGACTGGTTTAAAAATGGCAAAACCTGGTCTAAGATCTGCTTACCCCCTTCCCCCTGAAAAGGGCGAGTGTATGCTCTGTTCAGTACCGATCTGAACTATGCCACTTCCAGAAAACCACATTAGTTGGATCAGTTCTGCCTTGGGCTTTTTGAATGGCAGTACCTAGCTAGGATGCCTACCTGGATGTAACTTACACTGGTGAGTTTTTCTTCACGGGTAGCACTACAACCAGTTCTAGCAATTACTGTTATGTAAAGGAGTCAGTTTCTTTCTTTTTCCACTGATATAAAAGAATCATCTGTCTAGGTAGTTTGTCTGTGAAAGTGTCATGCAGTAGTTTAATTTTACTATTTAATTTACTATTTATTTGAAGAAGCTTTATTCCATTTAAATCAATGCTGCACATGCAGGAATACTTGAGAATAAAAAGATTATTCTATCTGAAGGTATATATTGTTGGTACTTGTGATATGTTTATATATCTTTTGGTTTGAAAATAAGATATGGAAACCATACAAATCATCTCATGTGCCTGCTATTAATTGTAATGCTTTTTTTGCATCCATAGTTTAAAGAGAGTATAAAAATAGATAATGGTCCATAGATTTTTCCAAGAGAGAATATAAAAAATACAAGAATAAATCAGTATGGCTAAATAGCAAGGGGCAAAAAGTTATTTGAAGTAAAAGGTATCCTTCACAAAATGTAAATCCAAAGTGAAGCTAATAAAAAGAACATAAACTATGGAAGGAAAATATAAGGTGTTAATTAGATGGTTTATGAGGGAATTTGAAGAGCATATAGATAAAGGCCTAAAAAGAATAATAAGACATTCTTCAGACATGTCAGAAATAGGAAGCCTATGAGGTCACCTGTGGATCTACTATTCTATCTAGGGATAAAGGGAGAGTTTCAGAAGGAATTATTGCAGAGACAAAGGTTGTGTACGTGGGATGGCCCATCTAAGACAAGCCACTCTCATGGTGTAGACATGATCTGAATTACCAAACATGCCATTTGATCCTGGTTTTATAGATATATATATATGTTTTGTTTTTTTTTAATTTGTTCCATGACCTCCTTTTGATACCTCCACTTTAGTTACCCCTCTCCCAATATCCTCTGTAACGGGGGGGCCTTCTCGGGGCCAACTTTTTTTTCCCAGTGGCCCGCCCACCTGTTTCTGGGCTAACTGCCTGCCTTCTTGCCTGCCATGCCTTGTTGGTAATTAATTAATTGACGTAAATTAAGCAGGAGGCTGCCCATTTCTTGCCCCGATGCCAGGGGGCGCTATCTGCGGCTCCGTTCCTTCCCTACACCACAGCCCAAGCCTCGCAGATGGCATCCAGATATCAATATCACCGGACCCAACACTGGGCCCCAGAATCCTAATAGTTGAACCCCGCCTGGTTTCCTCTCCTCAGGCTGCCTATTCCGCCTTCATCCTGGGCAGCATAGCTCCCTGAACTGCTTCCCCCTTACAGGTGTGGTCCCCCCTGGGACCTTTGGCTGCTAGCTCTGGCCCACCTCCAGGCCAGTTGGAACCCCAGGCCCTTAGCTCTTGGGCAACCCTTGCAATGGGCCCCTGGCCCTTCAACCCTTCTGGTCCTGGCCCCAGCATTGACCAGTCAGGGGATGTCCAGACAGGTGTGAGTCTATGGCCCCACTCTCTGTCTCTGGGGGTCCACCTTCCAAACCCTACAAAGGGGGTAACCCACCTGGTTGTGGGGACTAGGGGTTAAGGCGCCCCAACCCACCTTTCACTGGGTGGTAACTGGCCTGGTATTTCCTGGGGGCTCCCGCACCACTGAGAGCCCCACCATGCCACCCACTCCCAGCAGGGTGCAGTTTTAGGTCGTACCCAGGACCAGGAGCCTCCTGACCATCCCCTACAGCTCCTCCCTTACCTCCCAGATGATACCTGCAGCCAGGCAATGTTGCCTGGCCTCCCATCAGCAAAATGCCCTGTTTATATGAATCTAAAATGGCTGCCCTAATCAGGCACCTGCCGGCTGCTGGCTTCCAGCGCTTAAAGTGGCAGGCACAAACAGTGCCCTGCCACATCCTCTATAGTGAGGACTGAGGCAAAAAAAGGTAACCAGGATTAAATGTTACGTTTGGTAACTCAGGGCAGGTCTATTCCATGCAAGTGGCTTGTCCTAGATGGGCCATCCCACACACAATCCTCTGTGGTCTCTCTTAAGATCTTGATGTCCCTGAACTTGAGGGTAGCTACTAGGGAAGGCTCTGGAGTGGCCCAGAGTAGTGTCATTGGCATACATTCTCCACCCAAAAGTATCTGTGTCACTGGGTTGGGTGGTTGTGCTCAGAAAAAGCTATATGGCCACTGTGGTGTACCACAGCAGCAAACCTTTGAGAAGCTGTGCCACTGCAGTCTTTCACTAAAATAAAGTGTACTAGAAAAGTGACAATTAATAAAGGTTGAGCCATTTATTTTAAATATAGAACTTAGTTCAGAATCAGGTAAATAGATTGAAATGATAATTAAAAAACAGCCTACACTAACATATGATAAAAAGAAGCAAACATAGCCTTTGTAATGGAAAATGATCCTTCTCTGATCTGTTAGAATTTTTTGAGCATGACATCAAAATAACAGATGAAGAGAAACTGGTTGATCTAATTTATTTAGACTTTTAAAAAGTTTTTGACAAGGTTCCTAGCAAGACAATTAAGAAAATTAGTTAGACATATGCAGAGAGGTAAAAGGGATTAGAAACTACCTAAGAATAAATATTCACATTTTGTCATACTGAAAACTAAGAGCCCTAAAATTCTGTGCTAGAAATCATGATTAATGCACACATCCATGACCTGGAAACGTGGATTCCTGGGCTAGACACAGAAGTTGCACATAAGCCAGTTTAAGTGATCAGAAACTGGTTTAAACCTGTAACAGAACAGAAGTTCAGTGCACATAAACCAGTTTCAAAATGACTAAAATGGGTTTAAGATAAACCTGGTTGAATGAATCAGCTTTAACTGATTTGGGTCAAATTGGTTTATGAAACTTCTTCTTTCCCAGGCCCCTTCCTGTTTTAAGTTAAATCAGAGTCCCCCAGCATCCCAACATGCTTTTTAGCCTTCAGCTGGGCTGGGCTCTCTGCTCCAGAGAGTAGGGCTGGCCCCGCCCCTCTGCTCCCTAACCAAAGAAGTGAGGGATGGCTCCCTGGCTGGCTTACTGCCCTCGCCTCCCCCCTAGGCAAACCACAGCTGGGGCTGGGGCTGGGGCTGGGGCTGGGGCCGGGGCCAGGGCCAGGGCCTGGGCCAGGGCCGGGAGTTAAACTTACCTTTGCCTGAGCACAGGGCTTCTCTGCCCTGCTGGCTTACTTAGTGCTGGCTGTGACTGTGTACTACAAATCCCAGAAGCACCTAGAAGCAGGAAGAGGAAGTGATGAGCAACCCTGCAGAGTCCTGCTGCTGTAATTGTGGACTGCAAATCCCAGAGACCTCAGTGGCAGCAGAAAAGTCAAGTGAACACACAGCCCATGCTGGCTATGTGCCAGAGAGCCCTGCTCTAGTGCCCCCCCAGCTTCTAGCTTGAGCCATTGCAGGTATGTAGCTGCATTTCCTGAATCAAGAGTCTGCTCATTTGCTTATTGCTTCAATCTTTGCAGCTTAGACTAACCTGTAAAGACTGAATCAATTCAGCCTCAGGCTTTTGACTATCTGTACTTAGCCCCAGTGACATGGCAGAAATCCTAGATGATACAAAATGATTTAAGCTACTCAGGACTAGAAAAGCCCATGTAGAAGTTCTGAGGGACCTAAAAAAATTAATAAATGAGCAGCACTTTTGAAACTGACTTGACAAATGCAAAATAGCGCAGATCTGGAACAATAACATGAGTGACTCTTATACGGTTCTACATCCAAAGTCAGGTATAATCATTCAGGTGAAACCAAACACATTCTTGGCATCATTGTGAAGAATACAGTGAAAATCTATGCTTCAGTCTTCATGAATGGTAAAAAGGCAAACAAAATGCTATGAAACATATAGAATTAGAACAGATTATATGGAACAAGGGTATGCCCTTATACAGAACATTTGGTTACTCTTGGTTTAAAAATACAATCTAACACAAAGAGAGAAACTGATGAAGAGCTATTAAGAGGCTGTTATGCAGAACATAAAGGTTCTGAAAATATCAAGAGAAGATATCAATAGGAGGCAACATGATAGAGAGCTTTTATTTTCAAGTTGGTATGAGAACATTGCATTATAGAGGACAATAAAACTTTATACAAAGTACCAGGGTATTCTTAAAGAAGGTGTTTTGAAATTTTACTGTCTGAAAATTTACAAAGCTATATTTCCTTTCACATAACATTCCCATTAAACTTTTGTCGCAATTTTAAAATTGAAAAAGATGTTTGTTCTCATACATTCTTTTTAAAATAAAGAGCAAGTCTAATGGGAACTTAGGAGCATGAAGAGAAACATAAATTCTTTTCATTTTAGCTGCAGGCAATGAAATAAAATAACTCTAGGCAAGACTCCACATTAAATAGAC